CACACAAGCGCGCGCACACACACATACTCATACACACACACACACACACACTATCCAATCAACCAGGACCTCTGCCTGAGCTGGTGGGCCCCCGCCATCGGCCAGCCCGAGGCCGACGCGCTGCCCCGCCGCCTCGAGGCTCTGACCGCGCTCACGCGCCTGCGCCTCGCCCTGCGCGGCCGCTGGGGGCGGTACGACGGCGGAGGCCTCTCCGGCCTGTCGCGGCTGCGGGCGCTGTCGCTGTCGGGCTGCCGGTCGCTGCCGCTGGCGCTCAGTCTGGCGGACCTGACTAACCTCGAGCTCCTGGAGCTGAGCAGCTGCGGGGAAGCTGTGTCGGCCAACGTGCTCGTGCAGGTGCTGGGCCGATTTACGGCCGCCGCCGCCGCCGCTGCCGCTGCTGTATGCGTGGCCCTTGCGTCTCTCGCTTCGGCAGACGCGTTTCACCCGCCTGCCGGGGCCAGCGCCTGGATCGCGCCTCGCCGCGCTTGCGCCGCGACGTGCGTCCCGTACGACTCAAAACCGCATCTTTTCGCAATCATCCGAATTCGAATCCAGATCATTCGCTCAGCGCCAAACCTGCGGGAGCTCGGGCTGAGAGCCATGGCCCTGAGCCAGGTGCGGCGGCTCCAAGGCCGCGCCGGATGAGATGAAATGCGTCCAGATAGATAGTTGGACCAAGAACAGGACACCGATGCGATTCAGGGTGTGACGTCTCACCCCTGTCGTCGTCCAGCCGCGCCCCTTGGCGCGCCGGTGTCCTTGCGCGCCCCGCGGCGCTGGTGCGGCGGCGCGAGCGAGGGACCCCGCATCGCTCGGCCCCCCGGGTCTGCTTTGCAGCCTGGGCGCAGCCTTGCGATGCCACACCACTGATTGCGCTTCGCGCCGCGCCCGGCCCGCCCGACAACCCCCTTGCCCCCGCTCCCAGGAGCTGCGGCCCGCCGGCGACGAGCTCGTCGCACAGCTGGCGGCCTGCTGCCCCAGGCTGCAGGCACTTCATTTGGAGGATACCCCGCTGCTCGGCACCGGCCTGCGGCGCCCGCAGTGGCCCGTCGGCGGCGGCGGCGGCGGCCTCGGCGGCGGCAGGGGGTGGCTGCGGGGGCTGCGGGAGGTGGAGCTGTGTGGAAGCCACCTGCTGCGGTCGTCGGTGGGCCGGGGCGGGGCCGGGGGGCTGGTGGGAGCCGAACACGCGGGGGTGGGTGGGCAGCTGGCTCGCTAGGCCTGGGGCCGCGCGGCGCGAGGGGATGGGCGGGGCTGCGCGCCGCGCCGCCCGTGCTGCCATGACCCCGCGCGTGTCGGCCCCGCTGCTGCTATGAATTTGTCCCCACCTCCACTCCGCACTGCCATCGCCAACACGCACTCGCACCCTACCACCCACACGCTCACCCACACCCGCACTTACCAACACTCGCCCACACTCACTCGCACTGACCTGCACCCACCCCCTCTTGACAAACGAACCCTCTCCCCCTCAGTTCCTGCACCTCTCTCTTTTGGAGTCCCTCGAAAGCCTTGCTATCCACGGCGTCTCCGGCCCCGAGTTCGCGAGCGCCGCGCGCCTCGGCTGCCTGCGCGGGGTGGCGGGCCTCTCCCGCACGCTGCGCTCGCTGCGGATCACGGGCTGCGCCGGCGGTGGAGGAGCGTCGTCGTCTGCGGGGCCGGGGGCGGGGGAGCCGCACCTGCATTTCCTGGCGGGGCTGACGCGGCTAGGTGTGTGTGAGCGTGTGGGGGGGTGTGAGCG